AAAAAAAAACCCACTCCTATTCCAGTCTTTCTCATCTCAGTAAATGACACCATCATCCACCTAAACGGATGGCTGAGCCAGAACCTTAGAAAATTTTTAACAGCTTCATTGAGCTATAATTGATATACAATAAATTGTACATGCTTAAAGTGTACAAACTTGGTAAGTTCTGGCATATGTATACACATCTCCACAACCAAAATACTGAATACATCTATCATCCTCTAAAGTTTCATTTGCTAAGCCAAAGCCTTGCAAATCTTTTTTTCTGTCACCTCCCACAACCAGTCTATTAGTAAATAACATAAATTCTTCCACCAAAATATATGTTAGGGGCGCATGGGTGGCTCAGTTGGTTAAGCGACTGCCTTCGGCTCAGGTCATGATCCCAGGGTCCTGGGATCGAGCCCCGCATTGGGCTCCCTGCTCGGCTGGAAGCCTGCTTCTCCCTCTCCCACTCCCCCTGCTTGTGTTCCCTCTCATGCTGTCTCTCTCTCTCTCTCTCTATTAAATAAATAAATAAAATCTTTAAAAAAAAAATAGGTTAAATTTCTATGATCTCCAGTGAGTCTTTAGTCCCCAATATCTCTTATCTAGACTATTATAATAGCCTCTACTGGCTTCCCTGCTTCCCCTTTTGCCTCTACTACCCATTCTCCACATATCAACCCAAAAGATCATTTAGAAAATGCTTAAAAACCATTCAGTGGCTTTCCACTCCATTATCCACTTAGATCAAATCATATTTTTTACCATGGCCTTCTAAAATGCCACCCCTGCCTACCTTTCTAACCACATTTACCATGTGCTGCCGCTCTTCAGCCACAGTCACAATTGTTTCAGTCACTGTAACAATCATGATTCTTTGCCTTCCCAGGTTCACTCGGCCTGAAACACTATTCTCCCTGCTCATCAATAGGCTGGCTCCTTCTCATCTCTTAGAGCTCAGCATTTCAGGCCTAAAATGGGTTTCCCAGATATAATATTATTATAGGACCCTATTTACTTCCTTCATACAGTACTATATAAAGCACAATCTATAATTATCCTTGTTCATTGTCTGCATCCCCCATGTTTACTTCATGACAGTAAACACCATGAAGAAACCACATTTGCCTTACTCACTTCTGCATAACACAGAGCTTAGCACTTAATAGCTGTTAATAACTATTTATTAAATGAATGTAAGAATATATACAACATGGTCTCTATAGAAGAGTATACATTTTTCCCCATCACTACTAGGCAATAGCACACAAGGCACTCATTATTATTATTATTATTATTATTATTATTTTAAAGAGTGATGGTACAGAAGAACATTCCTATTCTTAGCGGCTTGAGATTTTTCATTTTCAAAGTTGTCTTTTCTCTGTGGACACATGAGCATATTCAAAATCAGATGCTGTGATATTACTAAGGGGGGAGGCACTAAACTAGGGCAAGTAAAAATCAAGGGAAGAGGGGGACGAAGAAAACCTGCAGACACAAATATTACATTAAAATTGGGAAAACCACAATTAGAAATCTTAAGAAGAGCAGAGGGGAACACCTTTTTAAGAGGCACCTAAAGAAGTTTCCCAGTACAAAATGAAGTGCTTGGAATGTCAGCAAAGATCCCTCCATAATAAAGTAATACACCTGGAAAGAGCCTCTTTTTTTTTTTAATCTCAGAAGCCTGAAATCCACCGAAGTGAAACGGTTTACTCAAAGGGAAAACCTATGTTCTAGTTATGTAGCTAGAACCCAGAGCCCCAAACAGCGAGACTAGGCTTGTTTCCCATTCCACAAACATATTAATAACATTCTGGCGCGTGGGAGGTTCGAGGAAAGTTGCCTAGAGAGTTCCCATTCATTCATTCCTTTCCTCAAGAGTTACTGAGCGCCTCCTATATGCCAGACACACTGCTGAGGATGCGGTGGATGCAGTCAAGGCCATGATGTGCTAGTTGAAAAGGGTGCTTCCTCCCCCATCTCTGATAACTTGAGGTATACAGATAATCTAGGTTTGCCTGGGTTTTCCCATGTCTACCCCTACGCGCTAAGAGCTGCAATTTGACTGAGGAGACGCGCCAGGTGACACGCGGCAGCTAGGAGGGGTTTTCCGGGTGTAGGTTGGAAGACAGAGACCGCAGACCGTAAAATGTAATGAAACTTCTCACTTTTAAAAGGGATATTATTTCCCAAATGAGCGCTCCGAACTTTTTAAATGGCCCCAAAAATACCGGAGCCCGGGCGCCGCGCTCACGCGAGCCCTCAGGAACACCGCCAAAGCGGACGCTCAGCTCACCTTCCCGCCCGGCGAGTCAGAAGGCCCGGGATTCTGTGTGTATGACGGCATCTTCCGGTTCCCGCCGGAAGTTTTTCAAACGCCGGAAGTCCCGCCTCGCTTCTCCCTCACTCGCCGCAGAGGCGCTGGGCTACCGGAGTGGGATGGAGCGGAGCCGGACGGAGGCGGGGCTAGAGCGAGGATCCCGTGGGAGCGCTGAGGTGGGGCCCTACCCCGGGGGCCGGGGGGCGAGCTTTCGCTCCCCGGATCCGGGTGGAGGTGGGGCCGGCGGTGCTACGAACTCGGACCCGCCTCTCTCTTCTTTTTCTTCACACACTGTACTCTCTTCGCATCCAGCGTCTTTTAAATTCAGTCAAGAATATTTTCATTACATTATTTGTAATTGGCAGTAGAAAAATGAGAAAAAAATAAGTTTTATTTTTTCTAAAGTCAATTTTGGTTATCGTTAATGAACTTCCCTCAGGGTGTTTTAAGCGTATTTTTAGCATGTTTATTTCCTAAGCCCCGAGATAAGGATTTTTGCTCTAGTTTATGAAAATACCCAAATCTTGCTTCTTCTGAGAAGCCCTCACACATCCCTGAGGTGCATGCTACCTCAATGGAAGAGTTTAACCCTAGAGTCATCGTTGTCTTACTGCAGTCTCTGAGGCAGCTTGTACTGCCAAGTACATCGATTTGGAAACCTGGTTCTCTTAAAAACTTACTAGTACATTTGGGCAAATCCCTTTATGTCTTTGAACTTGTTTTCACCCCCTCCCTTCCATCTTACCCCATACCTGAGAAGGTACCCCCTTACATACTAGGAGTAAATACTCAATTAATTTACTCAAGGTAATCGCAGCTCGAGATACCTTATCTTGGGCAAGAATGAGAAAACCCTGCCCCGTTTCATTTTCAGATTTTTGGAAAGTGCTGTGACTTGAGTCCTAACAACCCAAGTGTCCTAGGTGAGCCTTGCTCCTAATCCAGCATTTCCAGTCCCCTTCCCACAAAACACAAAAGTAGCTCCTGCTTTTTATTTTAATGACTCCAAAGTATCTTAACCCCAGTTGCACTCCCTAAGCTCCACTTTTTTTTTTCACTAACCCAAGTTAAAAGCTATAAAGGCCTCCCCAGCAATTCTTTACCTTTTCCTTGAATATATTTTCTCAAAATCAGTATTCAGTAGAAATGAAAAATGACTTGTTTTTTGGTGATGTGTTTTTTGCCAAATACACCAAACCCTAAACTCACAAAAACAGACAAAAAAATTAGACTGAAAAATTAGGGAAATAAGTCTGTTGGTAGTCTAGATTCAAATTTAGCAGATCAAAACCCTATGGATTTGGGACGTCTTGCTGGCTCAGTTAGTAGAGCATGACTCTTGATCTTGGGGTTGTAAGTGTGAACCCCACATTAGGCGTAAAGTTTACTTAAAAAATTTTTTTTAAATATTAAAAAAAAAAACATTTGTTTTAGAAGATTCTGTAGAGCAGCTTTCCATGCTAATGACTCATTTCCATGTGAGTACTGAAAGACCAAGCAAGACATTGAAATGTCTTATGAGTGGGCTTTGCTACAGATTCACCCAAAGTGAACATAAATTTTACTGGATAACGTTTGAGACAGAAAGAGAACAAGATTCTTTTTTGAACAGTCTGTTCAGCTATATCTAAGCTTCTTGGTGAGTAAGGATCAGTTTCTGAGATTGTTCAGAGGTTGGTGTTGGTTTTTTTTTCCTTCTTAATTTGTAGTCTTATGTTGCCTTTTGAAATGGTTCCAGAAGGTTTGGAACTGTCTGCTATAATCACAGTCTGCTCTGTAATTTCTAGTTCTGAAAATACTAGAGAACACATTACAGTTCAGGATTATAGAAAGGGAAACCAGGTCATAATAATCAACAATAATAATTTACTCTTTTACTATTCACCTATTTTTGATGTTGAATTATGCTATACAGGTTTAAGGTAAGGGATAATAAAGGTTAAGGTAAACCAATATTTTACAAAATCTTTTGACATAATTTCTGCCCTGGAGGAATTTACAAACAAGCTGGAGACTACATATAGTCACAAGAGGCAGAGATCCATGTAAGACAGTCTAGAATCAGGATTCGTTTGTATATCAAAGTAGCCACAGTATAAAGTGAGGGCAAGAATAGGGATTAAGCAGCCTTGTGTTGGATCTTGACTCCTCCAACAGGGATATTTGCCTTTCAACTGGGGAAGAAAAAAGATTATTAAATGAAAGTAAATAACCTATAAGGTTTTAGACATCAGACATTTGGGAAAAATAAAAGCTGGGATGGAGTCCTCTAAAATTAATGCAGGTGGTGACCTACTCCAAAGACAAGTAAGACTGTCCAGAAAACATTTCTCTGCTGGAATTTTGTAAGACAGTCACTCCCACTAAAAGCTGTCAAAGGAAATTTATAATCACTAAATATAAGCCAGGCCCCACCACAAAAACTGCCTTTTCTCTCTAGGACCTTGCCCAATCTGTTGTTTACTTTTGGATCTTAAGTGCTGAATTTCAAAAAATTTATGGCTTTAGCCTGGAGTAATCTAGACTCTCACCTGAGACTTATGCAACAGGGTTTGTGAGTAATGAAACATGTTTTGGATTTGCTTGCAGGTTATTTTATTGCTGTAAAACATACAGCTATTCATATGGTATTCATTGGTATGTTATCACTTGCATGTTATTTTCTGTGTTTTCAAGTTCTTTCCCTATGGGTTCTGTCTCCCCAGGGACACTGTAATAATGGTAATGACTTCTAGTCATGGATCATCTACTTTGTGTCAGGCACTAAGTTAAAGCTTTTACATGTATGTGTATTTAACTCACATATTAGCTCAATGAGATGTTACTATTATCCTGTTTTTATAAATGAGAGGACCAGCCAAAGTCACATCAGCTATTAAATTGCAGATCTGGATCTAAACCTAGTACTCTTTTTTTTTTTTTTTAAGATTTATTTATTTATTTGAGAGAGAGAGAGAAAGACAGGGGAGGGGCAGAGGGAGAGGGGAGGAAAGAATCCTCAAGCTGACTCCCCTCTAAACTCGGAACCCAATGTGGGGCTCAATCCCAGGACCACATGATCATGACCTGAGCCGAAACCAAGAGTCTGTCGTTCAACTGACTGAGCCACCCAGGCACCCTTAAACCCAGTACTCTTTTTTTTTTTTTT